TTTGACTTCTAATCTCTCTGTCTACCTCTTTTCACTTTTATTTTTCTGGCTACGTGTTTGAGTGAAATGTTATAATGAGCATTGTCATATGCTTGCAATAATCACCAGCACTAATGGTGACAGAGATAATACAAATTCTATAAAACACCTAGAGTATAGAACAGATTTATTGTCTTTGTTACAGTTCATAAAATATGTGTATAAAAATTTAGAAGTTTGAAACACTTTTATCTCAAAGCAGAGATGGTTGTAGCAGTTTTCTATGCATGTTGTTGATATATTATTGCTGCTAGTGGGGGAAGAGTTGAGGAGAGGAGGTGAAGTGAGATAAGGAAGTCTTTTTTTTAATAATTCAGAGAATACCAATGTAATTTCTGTAATTTTAGATATTACTCAAAGAGGATACAAAGCATAACTTGAAAGAAAAAAAAGATTTCTTATTGTCTTTTACATTGCAGAGACTCTTGGGTTGGATTCTGAAGTCGCTAAAGCAAATGCCCTGGGCTTTGTTGGATGCCTGTCTTCAGTCCAGTACAACCACATATCACCACTGAAGGCAGCCCTGCGCCATGCCACCATCGCACCTGTAACTGTCCAGGGCACCTTGACAGAATCCAGCTGTAGCTCCATGATGGATTCAGATGTGAATGCAGTGACCACTGTGCATTCTTCATCAGGTACATTAGAGAGGATTCCAATGGAGCTTCCTTCACTGGAACTATCTTTGTTGTATTCAAAAGTTTCCAGGTTAAAAGATTGGTTAATATTACTCAAGTTCTCACCTTGTATAACTACAGGTGGTTAAAAATCTGACTGGTTTCTTGTGGGTAATTTTTATATATATTTAATATAATTCTTTTAATATATGATCTGAAGAAAAACCGGAGTGCTACTTTTAATAGGATGAGTAAATAGAACTTAATTTGTAGTTGCATATCCTACACATTATATACACACACACACACACACACATATACATTGTGTGTGTGTGTGTGTCTGGTGAGGGCACTTAAGATTGACTGCCAGCAAATTTTAAGTAATCAATGCAATATGATTAATTATAGTTATCATGCTGTACTCTAGATCACCAAAACTTATTCATCTTATAATTGAAAGTTTGTGTGCTTTATCCCCTCCCCATTTCCTCCATATTCTGTCCCCTGGCAACCATTGTTCTACATTATAATTCTATAAGTTTGACTTTTTCAGATTCTATATGTAAGTGAGAATATACAGTATTTGTATTGCTCTGTCTGAATCATTTCACTTGA